TTCCCGCATCTCCTAGGCACTCCCAGTAAGTAACTTCAAAGAATCCTTAACTTCCCTGCGGACTGTGCCTGATTAACTGAGAGCTGTAAATCCCCACCGACTTCCTGTTCTTAGTAGCCACAGGTTTGAATCATATAGCATCAAGGTAATCACAAGTCTTGTGATTTGCATAACTTTTGCGTATCACGACATGTCGTGATGTATGATGTTTTAGGCCCCATTAACTCTCTTTACTCTATGGCAAGCTTTATTAACTCTTCTGCTGGGTGTTACGGATAAGAAACTAAGATATCTCTGGTAACTGGTGCCAGGAAATGCAGATCCCGAATGTCATAATTGACAAAATGCGGCTCTAACTTAAGTTCTTTTCTTCTTCTTTTTTTAAAGACATGGGATACAACTCAGGGTTAGGTGTACAAACGTTCATTATGCAGGTGCCCTGGTTAACTTAAGTTCTGCACAATGTTCTGCTAGTTATATGGTTAGTGTATAGGTACCAACAACACTGAACTTATAAAAACGTTCTGTAGTGCCGGGCTCGGTGGCTCAGCGGCTCAGCCTGTAATCCCGTGCCTTTGGGAGGCTGAGGTGAGTGGATTGCCTGAACCCGTGGGTTCGAAACCTGCCTGGGCAGGCGAGACCTCATCTCTACAATAAAATAAAAAAATCAGCCGGGCGTGGTAGCGCATGCCTGTAATTCTGGCTACTCGGAAGGCTGAGGCGGAAGGATCGCCGGAGCCCAGCAGGTCGAGGCTGCGGTGGCCGGGAGCGGCCACTGCACTTCAGTCTGGGTGACAGAGTGAGACTCCAACTCAAAAAACAAACAAACAAACAAACAAAAAGACGTTCTGTAAAACTTGAAGGGTGAGTAGAATCGTTTTAGAAAGACCAGAAGCCCAGCTCTGCTCCCTAGATTTGAATTCAGAAATAAACTTTTTTCCACCAGTTTCCTGCCTCTCGATTTTTGGTATTGAGGGTTAGCAGCCAGACGATAACAGTTCGGGAGACTGCAATCCTAAACGCTGACACACTTCAGACACAGGGAGTCCCCTACATACGAATAAGATCCTTTCCAAGAGCGCATTCCTAAGTCCAATTTGTTCGTAAGTCCAACAAAGTCAGCCTGGGTACCCAACTCACAATCGGTTATACAGTGCCGGCTACATCATCACTGCTTTTATGCTTACTTCTGGACATCCTGGGCTTGAAATAAAGATGCTGTGCTCCTGCACTCCACACAGTCATGTGCAGTAAAGTACACAAAACACATCCACTTAAAGAGGATGCAAATACGTGACAATGAACGCCAGACATGTGAACTGACCTATGTAATTGGATGTGCAAACGCATACTAGCATCATTGAAAGTTTGCAACGTGAAGGCTCATGTGTAGGGACTTGCTGTAATCAGCTACGGCTTTTTTTATTTTTTATTTTTAATTGAAGTCTCACTCTGTCGCCCAGGCTGGAGTGCAGTGGCACGCTCATGGCCACCCCAGCATCAACCTGCTGGGCTCTGGCGATCCTTCACCTCAGCCTTCCAAGTGGCTGGAACTACAGGTGCACACTCCCACGTCCGGCTAACTTTTTCATTTATGGTAGAGATGAGCTCTCATGAAGTTGCCCAGGCTGTTCTCAAACCTGTGGACTCCGGCAATCCCCCAAAGTGCTGGGATTACAGGCTTGGGCCACCACGCCCATCCCAGCTATAGCTTTTAAAATCCTTAAAAAACAGTTTCTCTGTAGCGGAAGAGGATTGAGGGCAGGGAGGAAGCAGACTTTGAGAGCCCTTGGTAAGTCAGGATCAATATTGACTGGCTTCTCGTCAGAGGGGAGATAGTATCTTGTTTCAGGAGGAAACACATTGTCCTTAATACTCCAACACATGGAGAGACTGAAGCTACAAACTTGGGTGTGGAATTTTAAAAGGAAACCACTTTTAAAATAGTAGCTAGTCGGAAATGAATGTTGAGGCACTAAAATAAGCAAGACAGCGAAATAGTGTTGGAGACAACCGGTGAGGAACTGAAACCGGAAGAAACAGTCTGAAGAGAAATAATGGATGCCAGAAGTTAAATATGGGGTTATGGAAGGTACTGTCCGGTCATAGACTCTTTGCTCTTCCCTCAGGGAGTGGCCTGTGGCCAACGCTGGTCTGTGAAGGGTGTGTGTAATCCCAGTAACGGGTCAGGGATATAGGTGATCAAGTGAGGCTGAAAGCAGTGTAGGCATCACCCTTAATCAAGGCCATGGTAAACACCATATAGCAGTGTGGATAATTTTTTTTCTTGAGTCGGAGTCTCAACTCTGCTGCCCAGGCTGGAGTGCAGTGGTACATACGTTCACACCCACCGCAGCCTCTACCTGCTGGGCTCAGGCGATCCTCCTGTCTCAGCCTTCCAAGTAGCTGTAACCATAGGCATGCGCCACCACACCTGGCTGATTTTTTGATTTATTGTAGAGGCCAGGTCTCGCCATGTTGCCCAGGCTGGTCTCAAACCCCTAGACTCAGGCAATCCTCTCACCTCGGCCTCCCAAAGTGCTGGGATGACAGGCTTGAGCCACCGTGCCCAGCAGCAATGCGATAATTAACTTGCTTGATCATACAACTGCTTGCTGAACTGTCCCAGGGCGCGGATTCTTCACTGACCGGCCGCCCTCCGTGGCTAGTAAACCAGTGTCTTTCCCTGCTGGACCTCCAGGTGGCTTCTTTGGAAACAGGTTAACGCTGAGCACAAGCCCTCTCAGGTTTGGGGCTCCCGCCTCACAGGTGAAAGGGGGGAGCTGAGATGGGAAGCCAGAACTGCTGAGGGCTCAGAAACTCGCCAAGAAGACAGCGTGGGTCTGATAGTGAAGGAAGTCCACAGGACTCATCGCCAGATGAAGGCCATCCTGGGCATCAGGGCTGACAGTCTAGCACAGATGAAGAAGAAGAAAAGAGCCACGTCATTTTCTCCCAGGGAAACTGAGGCAGGGAGCCAGCACCCCCACACGTTTTCTTGTGCTTCTCCATCCTGCCCTTCTCCTTATCTCCAAGCAGCCACCGACTGCTTTACGCTACTATCGATTCATTTGCGTTTCTGAGACACGTGTTTACATGCAATTATACCGTGGTGTTCCTTTTTAAAATCCTTACTTTCATCCAGCACAATTATTTTGAGATTCAGTCGTGTCATCTGTGCGTCTTTGACTGCGGATGGTATCCCGTTGTAGAACTCTATCGTGACTAGTTTATCCCCTCACTTGTTTTTTTTTGAGTGGGAGTCTCACTCGGTCGCCCAGACGGGAGTGCAGTGGCCGCTCCCGGCCACCGCAGCCTCCACCTGCTGGGCTCCGGCCATCCTTCCGCCTCAGCTTTCCAGTGGCTGGAACTACAGGCGTGCACTACCACACCCAGTTAATTTTGAGATTTATTGTAGAGATGAGGTCTCGCCAAGTTGCCCAGGCGGGTCTCGAACCCGCGGGCTCAGGCAATCCACTCACCTCGGCCTCCCAAAGCACGGGATGACAGGCTGAGCCACCGAGCCCGGCTTCCACTCATTTGTTGACGAACATTTGTATGAGTCAAGGTTCTCCACAGAAACAGAATCAATACACACAGACACAGACACACACGAAACACACACACACACACACACACACACAGACACACACGCATAGATTTATTTTGAGGAGTTGGCTGGCACGATTGTGGGGGCTTGCAAATCTGAAATCTGTAGGACAGGCTGGGAGTTCTGGCAACAGTTGATATTACGGTGTAGTCCAGAGGGAGAATTCCTTCCTCTGCGGGGGACCTCTGTGTTAGCTTTTAAGGCCTTCACCTAATTGGATGAGGTCCACCCACATTATGGAAAGTGACCCATATAACTCAAAGTCTACTCTTTTAAATGTTAATCACATCTAAAAAATACCTTCACAGCACTCTGAGGCTGGTGTTTGACCAAATAACTGGACACTGCAGCCCAGCCAAGTTGACATACAAAATCAACTTTCACAAAGTTGTTCTAAGTTTTTGGCTATTACAGATAATGCTACTGTGAACATTTGTGGACAAATCTTTGTATGAACATGTGATTTCATTTCTCTTGGGTAAATATGAATTAAATGACTGAGTCATGTGATTGATGTATGCCTAACGAAAAAATTCCTTCCAAACTGTTTTCCAGAGTGTTGGACCCTTTTGTATTTCCACCAACAGTGTAAGAGAGTTCCAATGGCTCTTGTATCCTCGGCTGTCTGTCTGCCTTTTATTCATTTGTGTATTTATTTTATAATTTATGTATTTATTATAGAGTTGTGGGGTACAAATAAGGATTTACTACCCAAGTAGGCTGCAAGCAGGTGAAGTTATTTATTTATTTATTTAAAACTTAAAAGGTCGGGTTCGGTGGCTCAGTCTATCATCCCAGCACTTTGGGAGCCCGAGGTGAGAGGATTGCCTGGACCCAGGGGTTCAAGACCAGCCCGGCCAACTTGGCGGGTCCTAGTCTCTCCAATAAATCAAAAATTAGCCAGGTGTGGTAGCATGCACCTGATGATGTGACCGGGCTGGTCTTGAACCCCTGGGCTCAGGCAGTCCTCTCGCCTCGACTTCCCAAAGTGCTGGGATGACAGACTGAGCCACCGGCCAGAATTTCCTATCTTTTCTTTTTTTTCTTTCTTTCTTTTTTTTTTTTTTTTTTTTTTGAGTTGGAGTCTCACTCTGTCGCCCAGGCTGGAGTGCAGTGGCACACTCACGGCCACCCCGGCGTAGACCTGCTGGGCTCAGGCGATCCTTCCACCTCAGCCTTCCGAGTAACCGGAACTACAGACGTGCGCTACTAATTTTTTGATTTCTTATAGAGACGGAGGTCTCGCCAAGTTGCCCAGGCTGGTCTCGAACTCCGCAGCCTCAGGCAATCCCCTCGCCTCAGCCTCCCAAAGTGCTGGGATGTCAGGCTGAGCCACCACGCCCCGGCCAATGTACCACATCTTCAACACAACATTCCCCTTTACTTGCAGATTATTTTGCTTTGCAAGTCGGAAGGGCAAGACTGAAACACAAAGTGACACCCCCTGCGGTTACTGGGTCGCCAGAGTTTGAGAGAGTGTTTCGTGCACAGTGAGTACCCCTTCTCCCGCTCTTCACAGATACACAGTTCCTGACTAGTGGGGAGCAGGTGAGAAGGCCCCAAGTTCATCTGCCGTCTCCAGTTACGAAAACCCACTCCTCATAGCCAAGACCCTTTGTGTGATCTGTGCAGCTTGGAGGGCCCAGTGCATGGCGTCGATGCCCAGCTGTAACACACATGGGTGTATTTACAGAAAAGGATGAGGTCTTGGGAGGGGACTGCTGGGTCTCTCACACATGGCAACTTGGTCAAGAGACCCCTCATCCTGGTGAGACCCCCAGTACCCTCGGTTGGGTTGGTTATGCTAGAGTTTCCTATTTTTTCTTTTCTTCCTTTTTTTTTTAGTTGGAGTCTCACTCTGTCGCCCAGACTGGAGTGCAGTGGCCGCTCCTGGCCACCGCAGCCTCGACCTGCTGGGCTCCAGCGATCCTTCCGCCTCAGCCTTCCAAGTAGCTGGAACTACAGGAGCGTACTACCATGCCTGGCTGATTTTTTGATTTATTGTAGAGATGAGGTCTCGCTGCCCAGGCGGGTCTCGAACCCGCGGGCTCAGGCAATCCACTCACTTCAGCCTCCCAAAGGCGCGGGATTACAGGCTGAGCCACCAAGCCCGGCTTATTTACACATTTTAATACATTAAAGAGTTTGTTTCTGGCCCAGCGTGATGGCTCACGCCCGTAATCCCAGCACCTTGGGAGGCCAAGGCGAGAGGATTGCCCGAGTCCATGGGTTCAAGACCAGCCTGGACAACACAGATTCGCAGTGTTTTTGATCATCTCGTGCTCCTTGCTTTTTCAAACCCACACAGAATGTTCCGCCACAAACACCATGAATTTGCCAGCTGCGAGCCGCAAGGGCTTCCTTTACGTTCATTTCCCCAACTGAGTCCTGTAAAGAACATTTCACGTGTCATTATTGACACATCGTGGAATCTTCTGTTGATATTTTGGAATCTTTCACTTATGCCTCGCAGCGAGGCTGGCCTACTCGCTTCCTTTCTTTCGTGGTTCTTGTCTCATTTTGGTATCAAGATTATACTAGTCTCAGATGAGCTGGATGAAGCATCCTGTTCTATTTTTTCAGAGAATTTTAATGAGGTTGGAAGAGTGTGTTCCTTCAAAGTTGCGTAGAAGTTACCTTAAAATAATCTGGGCCTGATGTTTTTCTTGCGAAAAAATTTTAAATGAGGGCATTTGCATTCTTTCATGATGATTGGACTAGTCAGTCTTCTTATTACCTTTTTTTTTGTTTGCTTTGAGACAGGGTTTCACTCTGTTACCCACGCTGGAGTGCAGTGGTTACAGTTCCGGCTCACTGCAACCTCAGCCTACTGGGCTCAAGCGATCCTTCCACCTCAGCCTCCCAAGTGGCTGGAACTACAGGCACACACCACCACAACTGGCTAATTTTTGTATTTTTTGTAGAGACAAGGTCTCAGACTAATGCCTAGGCTGGTCTCGAACTTCTGAGCTTAAGCAATCCTCCCACCTCTGCCTCCCAAAGTGCTGGGATTATAGGCATACGCCACACTGTGCACAGCTGAGGCTTTTTATTACACCTTGAATCAATGTTGGCAAGTCATGGTCCTTGGATGACAACATTGGTCTCTTGATTGTCTACTTGTTCCAAGGAGGATTTTGTGGACTCATACCTAGGCTTGACAGTGTGGGTGAATACCGCTGGTATACACAAGATAATTTTCAGAGGTATGCACACTTGGTTTTGAATAACATTGGGTGAGAAGTCATTCCCATTTACATGGTCTTTTGGTCCTTATGGTTATGTCAAGTGGAAAGTATTCGTTTGGTGCCAGTATGTCCCACACTTCAAAATTAATATCTACTTTTTTTTTTTTCTTTTTTTGAGTTGGAGTCTCACTCAGTCGCCCAGACTGGAGTGCAGTGGCCGCTCCCGGCCACTGCAGCCTCGCCTGCTGGGCCCCGGCGATCCTTCCGCCTCAGCCTTCCGAGTAGCCGGAATTATAGGCATGCGCTACCACGCCCGGCTGATTTATTTTATTTTATTTTATTGTAGAGATGAGGTCCCGCTGC